TTTAGTATCGGCATGTTTTCTAATTACTATTACCTTTTGTTGTTTTACTGCAGAAAGTAACTGTTATTGCCAGTACAGTTGAAAGCCCTGTTGCTCGGAGAAAATTGTTCGCCCAGATCAATAGCTTTATTGCTGTTTTCATCCTTGGCGGACAACTAACTTTAACGGTAATACTATTTGTTAATCTTTTTTAAGCAAGGGTTCCTGTACAATTGTATTTTATTTCATTTGAGTTCCTTCTCCTAACAGATAATCCCCATTTTCTCTTCTCTTCTAAGTTTCTTATTAAAGTTTTTAAGATTTAGTTATGTATGTGTAGTTTTTTTTCTTCTCACAGGGCCGTATACTTACAGTTGCTGGGGTTACTATAGCTATTTGCTCTGCACCGTTTGTTGGGTTCATGAATCTTATTGCTTTAGCCGTATGGCCTTCATGGATTGCAGTTGCCATATCCGAAACTTTACGAAAGGTTATTATTTTTTTCATTTACCCGGTCAACTTTCCTTCTTGAGTATTTTTCTACAAACTTGAAAGGGCTCAACACATCTTTCTTTTACTGCTCTTTCGATTCTTCAGGTAGTTATGTATGTTGTCACTAGACCCGGAAGAGAACTACTCTTCACTGTTGTTACACAAGATGAGAAGTATAAAGCAAAGGTTTGTCCAAAAAAAAAAGGGAAAAAAAGAAAAAGAAACTCACCTTTTCTTCTTTTTGTAATGTTATAAATATCTGTAATTGGTTTTAAAGTGCTGTTGAATAATGATTTAAGATCCTTCATGAAGTTTCCAGTTTGAAGAGCTCATGAAATTAATCAATTATGCATTAGTTCTTTTAGATCAACATGGAAACAAATAGGAGTTTGCTAAAATTGCCAAATTACTCGAACTATCATTGATTGTCTCTTTTGTTCGACAAATATGGACTTGTTTTGCTGACAGTGAACAATAATTTCTTAAAGGTATGTATAGATGTGATTGTTCAGAGGCTTGGTGATGCCACTGCAGCTGGAATGTACAAGCTATTCTTTAGCACTTCAAATGCCAATCCATCCACAGTTTCCCTTTATGCATTGCCTGTATGTATTTTTATTTTTTTTTTAATTAGGACATTATTTTTGCTGCTTTTTTCGAGCTAAACTATAGATAAGTAGAATGAAAAACTAAACATTGTTTTTTGTATTTGTTTTGTTTCCTCAGGTGTGTTTGTTGTGGATAGTCACGGCTTTCAATTTAGGACGAAGACAAACACAGCTTGCTAAGTACAGGCTAGCTCAATCAACATGATGATCGGACAATGTTTTAACCTTAGTTTTATTTGTATAGGATGATTGGACTACATTAATCTAAAACTGTAATAAAATTGTCTATTCGAAATATTTTCGAGCTAATGTACTTTGGATACGCGCAAAGTTTTTGCGAGTTTTATTCAAGATTTTCTCAAGAAACCTTGATGTCTGTATTCGTGGATAATTTGCAGAACAAATGTGGCAGATAATTGGTAATAATAATAGTTTGTGATTCTATTTATGTGAACTAATTAAGCCACAGCAAAAAATCATCATAAGCACAACTTGTACTGAGATATTGAGAAATGAGAGAACTGGTTTTCTATATTCTAACTTAATTAGATAACATTTTTATACAAACCGAACCACCGAGTTCCAACTAGCTTAGAGGCCGAGTTGATTTCTATAAAATGTTTGGAGGAAAAAGTGCCTTCATTCAAGACTCACGAAGGGCACGTACACGATCTTCAATAAGTTTTCTTTCCCAATCTGCAATATCTTCAAAAGCATGCTCGGGCAAACTCTCGAAAGGTTCCTTCCAAGGCTCGTTTTTCGCCAAGTCATATGTGGCCCCACGAATCGCTCTTCTGTTGGGCCCACATGGCCGCTTCGAAGTTAGCGTCTTGTAAGCTGTGTCCAGCTGTTTCAACAGAGCAAATTAGATTAATACGTTTTTCGTTTTCCCTTTTTTTTTTTGTTGTTGGAGGAAATACTGGGCTTACGTTCGTATTTAAGAACCAGAACATGTAAGCAATAGAAACAGCGGGTGCCCTTCCTAAACCGGCAGTACAGTGAACATATACTCTTCCATTTCCTTCCGATATTGCCCAATCCAATGCCGAAACAGCTTTTGGTAATCCATGTCTTAACGACTCGGGATCAAAATCTTTCGCCTGAAAATGTAAGCTAAAATTACTTAAAACTCAAAGAAAATATTTTCAAGTCAATGACTTTCTCTAAGGACATGAAATTCTGATGAGTCTTGTATGAAGACTTTTCAAATGAACCATGACTCGTGAGAGTTCAATTTTGTTCGAGTATACTCAATATATCCAATTTTAAAATTCAAAAAAATAAAATAAAATAAAATAAAAGAAAAAGAAAAGGAAAATAACATTTTTTCTAACAAAGAATTAAGCTTACAGGCCTTCTCATGTGACGAATCCCGAGCTCTTTACATCTCTCTATAATGGATTTTAAGTCTATGCCCCAGTACTCGACATCTCTATCCTGCTGCAAGTTGAGTATGTAGCCCACATTAAGTTCCTCTTTTAGATGATCAATGTCTTCGATTTTCTGAGGCTGCGAGCCCACGATCAGATTTTCGGTTATAACGGTATAGTTCATGCCTAGTCACAAATATTCACATTACAACTCCATATTAATACCACTATTCTATCAAATGATTATTGCAACACAAAATGTTTGTATCAAATAATTAGGACAGTTCAAACAGTAAACTCAGTACGAAAGCTCCACCCTTTCATGATGCCCTTATGTGATTCAATAGCATTCATATGCTTAGTACAAAATTTTGGAAAGGGCAACTTAGAACACAACATATTTTCTTTGATCTCACAATTTTTTTTCATATCCTAAAAGATTTAGCCCATCAAGAAAAGGTAAAAGAACTTGGTGAGATCGACTTTTCTAGTAAACTTTGTTCGTATTATTTTACAACAGTTAACAAAACAAGGAAACTACACGAGCAACACAAACAACAAAATCCCCAAATTTATTAGACTATTAAAAACAACATGATACTACAAATACATTACCACATTATGACACTTTAAACAATAAACTCACTATGAAAGCTCCAACCTTTTATGATGTGATTCAATAGAATTTTCATGCTTGTTACAGCCTTTTGTTTCTCTTTCATCTTTCTAAAAAGCACAATTTTTTCATATCCTTAAAAAGAAAAATTCAGCCCATCAAGAAAAGGTAAAAGAACTTGGTGAGATCCACTTTTCTAGTGAACTTTGTCCAACCTATTTCACAACAACGATCTACAAACAGCGTTCTTAAAAAACAATAATAATAGCCAACAAAACAAGAAACCCCACGAGCAACACAAACAAAATCCACAAAATCAAAACCCAAAAAAAAAAGGAAAAAGAAAACAAGAAATCACCGAGATCGTGATGATATTCATAAGGGTTCCTCATCATTTTCTTCATTTCCGTGTTGTAATCTTCCATTTGCCTCTTGGAGCTGCTGACATTAAACCCTTGCTCGCCCTCGGACAGCCTGCACCGAATCCTGGTGAATTTGGGTGAATTTTTTGGGGCCCACATGGGATCTGCTTGCATATGTTTCGAGGGAGAAAACGAGAGCGCCGTGTTTTGAAATGGAGAATTAAGCTTTGGTAGTGAGAAGGATAATACAGAGGTTTTGCTTACACCTTCCATTGCTTGTGGTCTCTCTGTGTCTGCTTTACCTCAATGTTCTTTTATGGGAAATTAATTTATTATTTGTCATTAAAATATACTTCATGTGCATATGAACAAACGTATATAAAAGTACTATAAATTATATAATGGTATCACAATTTAAAATTTTAACTATTAGTAAAAATAAACTATATAAAATTATTTAACTATCATATGAATTTATAATGGATAATGTAATTTTAAAGGATTGTTATCAATTAATTATCTAAAATTACTATTATTAATGTTGTTGTTTGTTGTTGTTGTTTATATGATTTTAAGGGTACATTAAGATCAACTAGCTAATTTAAAAAAATAATTACACATTAATTAATATAAAATATAATAATTTATTACCATAATTAACGGAAGGATAGGGAGAAAAGAATTATTTATATGAATTGAATAGGACACATTTATATAGAGTTTTGATAGAAAATTTGTCAATTAAAGAGAGTTGGGACCTTCTATTGTGAGGTATCCTCGTACATACCTAACAATATGCCAAAAATTTTATAGAGCCATCGGATGATTTTCTTATGAAGCCATCCACCACTTAATGTATTGACACTTGTCTTAATTGTATTTATTGTAGGACACGTGTCAATACCCTATTGGTGAATAAGTGTGGATGACTCCATAACCCGAGCCATCCGATGATTTCATAATAAAACTGNGGTGGCCTCTTACATTGCCTCGTACGCTTCGTACATGCTAAAAAATCTATTATACTCTTACTTTAATTAAATATTAAATTAATTATTCATAAAATAATAATTGTATTTAGTTCTAAGCCCATATATTTATCTAATTTGTATACCATCCTACAAATATAATAACATATCATTATAATCTTAATATTTCTATTATTACATATCATTTTTATTTACGAATTGAAATTGTTATTGTTCTTCTAATTGTTCTTATTTTTCACTTCAAAATAGTCCCCAAAAAAATATTCTCACTGTTCTTGTTATCTCGATTTCGGTCACTTGACCAAAAACAATCTCCGAGATTTCGATCAATTTCATGTACTTGTGTCGGATTTACTCGACCAGAAGTTTGAATTAGGGTTTGACAAAATCCCATCAGCATCACCAATCACCACGTAGTTATGGACGCGAGCTCGATTGTTAGGTTTATCAAAGCCTGGAGCTCATTAGCCAAGCTCGATTATAGCGAAAACGTAAATGTAAGAGAAAATGAAAACCTTCCACCTCTTCTAGTCTATGACGGATCCTTCATGAAGGATCCATTGGGTCGGGCTGACTAAAATTTGAGGATTTTAGTGTGGTTTAAACGGTGATTTGTCACGAATATTTGTTTGATGAAACCAAAAGTACCGTTAGATAGAACAGACCTATCGAGAATTTGATTGGTATGTGACAAACATTGGACTAGGGTGAAAGATTAGACAAATTTGTACAAGATTAAAAGTTACTGCATCAAATTTAAACCCCAATATTTTATGTACGAACAAAATTGAAAGAAAAATAAATGTTGATGAATTAAATTGAGACCCAAATTAAAATGTTGGAGAACACAAAACTGTAGAACAATATTGAAAGTTATCCAACTAAAATTGCAAATTTTTTCCTCCCCCCATAACATTCCACAAAATATTTGCAGACATTTATATGCGCGAAGCATCCCTAATCGTGTACGCGGGACTTCCAAAATTTCCTATATATATATGTCTACACTATCCGAGCCCTACACGTGGGCCCCACATTTGTACAAGCAAACGCAAAATGTTGTGGCCGCGCCATTGAAATACTTAACCGAACAATAACTTCTGATCGAGAGGTTTGGCGGGAAGAGAAGCCCGCTCAGGCACACAACTTCGCAATTTACGGGCCTTTGGACATCACAAGGAACCTTAGCTGCAATGGTGCAAGTCGCGCGGCCGAAAGCTTCTAATCGAAATGTTGCGCATGTAACGGCTATAAGAAGGAGCGCGAAATTCAAAATGTGCACAAGCTTTGCCATATTGTAGGANTTTTTAATTATTATTGTTATTATTTGTTTTGTATGATTATGAGATTTTGGTACAATTTATAGGCCATATATCTTTTGGGTTGTTTTTTTTTGGAAGATTGTGACAAAATGAGTATGCTGGTGAATGCATGCCATGGATCTGATCATGTGAGTAGTGATTTGAATTGGTAAAAGGTTGATTAAATTATTTGCATATATGAGAGGATTGTTTTAGAAATTTTGTGGCACAATTTGAATAGCATGCTGCTGGGATTGAGTCAAATAGTTGACTGGAAATGAAACAAACTTTGACGATGTGAACTTTCAAACAATGTGTTGCATTTTCGAATTTGCAGGGCAAATAATTTAAAGTAACTTTTATTTTTTGGTCTTCTATAATTGCCATATCTAACTATTTGTTAATTTTACTTTCTTAACAATATACACACTTTCAAATTGAAATGTCAAATTCTGAAAAATAGCATATTAATTATAAAATTTTTACAGTGTAATAAGTATTCATTTCTATTAAAATATATGACGAGTCGACCTCATTTGAGATTTAGGTCGTCTCATACAAGAATTTGTGTTTTGTCTAATAACTGATAAGCTAGTGATCGACAATATAAACAATTTCGGGAGATGTGTCAACTATTAATTCGCAAAATCTAGCTAGTATATTTGAATCAAACATAACGTGATGAGGATAATTGTACCAATTGGCACAATTTATATCATTTTGTTTTCGATTGTTTAAGTAGAATAGCCATAAATTTGGTGACATATGTTAGGAGTCCTGCTAAGATTCATCTGGTTGATTCAAGGATAGTGGAGATGAGGTTAATAAATAATGCATCGTTTGAGGATGTTTGGTTCAACGGATGCTCGGGTTAAACGATTCTAAAGAAAATTTGTTCTCTTCCTATATTATATAACCTTATTATAGCTGATCAATTAACTATCATCAATCAATCATCAATGTTTATTACAAAACTCTCACCTTGCTGCTACACATACATGTACACATACAAAAGGGAAAAAAAAATGTTGTTCCCTTCATATTTTATATAGTCTTATAGTGCAACAACTTCGGCTAAATTTCATTTTTAGTACACTATTTTGGCTATTTTCTAAAAAAAAGTCCATTATACAAGGTGTTATCAAGAATGGTCCACTAAATTGTCACTTTAATCAAAACTCGTACAATAGCCAACACAGTGTACTAAATATGGCAACTAAAAATGATCACTTTTTAGTACACGATATTGATTATTGTACGAATTTTGATTAAGGTAGAAACTTAGTGAATCATCCTTGATGACACCCTATATAATGGACTTTTTTCGAAAAATGGCCTACATAGTGGACTATTTTTGAAATGTTATCCCAACAATTTCCTTGATTAACTATCATCAATTCATATGCCTATCATATTACAAACTAACAATCAATGACTGAGAGGAGCCTGAGCTTGACTAGCAAAGCAGTCCCAAATGCAGGTGCAGAGGAACAACACGTGGACGCGTTCGAAATGACCTACGCAAGCGACTCAGAATGAGGTAATAAGGCGGGAAAAAGAGTCCGCTCTTGCAAATGTTGGTGCACGATGAGTGATAGCCCTCGTCGCAAGTGGTGTACGGTATCTGTGTATGGCACTCTTTACCCTCTGTGCTCGACCAAAAACCTGCATTCGTAAGTCGAGACTAGATCGCGCATCATCAGCGTTCTAATTTCAAAATTGATTAAAAGTAAACTTTTATTTAATTTTTAAATTTACTCGGATGCGAAAGATCATGTTGCAAACAATTTCGTTAGATGGTCGTTGGACACGAGAGTTTCTAACTTCTCAGCTTTTAAAAATGTCATATTTTAAAAAGAAAAAATACTATGTTTTCTTAACCGATGTGCACTCTTAAAAATGTCATACTTCAAAAAATAACATAAATAAAAGTAAGATATTTTGCAACATCAGTATATATGTGGATCAATTTGCCTAACAGTTAGGCCGACTCATACAAGAATTGGTGAAATTCAGGATCTGGAAAATCATGTTAAGAGTTGATTATGTGAATTTCTTAATTGGGGTGATGAAATGAAAATTCAATGGCCAACTTTTAATATGAATCCAAAATCATGTTTCAATTTATACTTGGTTACATGAANATTTTACTAACTTTATAAGTTTTCCTAAAGAAAAGTTTTACTAGTTTTCCTTGTAATATGTCCCATAACAAGAATTCTGTGTTTATTTTCTATAATTGGACAATTATTTTCCTATAATAATCGATTCATTATATTATCAATCCTTAGACCATCTCATTAAATGAATTCGATTTACCATTTTGCCTCTTTTGCAAAGGAGGTTCCACTGTCAATTGTCACACAATTATAGTATTATACTCTGGTTTCATCTATAACAAAAGCAATCGTAAAAAAACCTTATACAAAAACAAAGCATAATTAAATATACGGTTACTTTGGCCGGATGGACCGATGACAATATTATTAGTGGATATATTTTTGCAATTACTTATAATTTATTAGTAGATAGTTTTGACAGATTTTTGCATTTTTTTGATATCTTGTGTTAGATTGTTATTATTTAGCGGACATTATTATTTAATTGTAAGGAAAAATTATCATCTGTAAAAAAAAACTACGTATGTATACTATTCTTCCAAGATTATCAATAAAAGTATAGTGATTAATTCTTTACATTTACAATTTTTATATTTCACACATTTTTTTATTGTATCAGCGACAATCAACTATCAACAATTACCATTTCATAAAAACTATAATTTCAATTCAGGTGTTAATTGGAGGATTGAGTCTCCAAGTTTTCATTGTATTGTGTGTTAGAAAATACTTTTACGTATCGGTTTTACTTACAGTAACGCAACATTAAAAAAAATTGAAATTTAAAAAAAAAAAAAGAAAAAAATGAAATTCGTATTTTGTTTCGGCATACCTATGGTGAGGGCAAGAAATAGGAGGCATAATGTCAAGGGCTGAGCAAAATTTGCCATGGATAGTTTTATATGTCTTTGTTTATTTTGTGGGATTTGTGA